TCTGATTTGTCAAAAAAGAAAATTACTGACGCGTATCTGGCCGATGGTTTGATAGCCGGCGTGCACCCGACCTTTTTGCATTTTTTAGATGGGTTATGGTGGTGGCGTGATAGAGTATATGTTCCATCAGTTTTGAGGCAAGGGTTTTTGAAAGAAATCCATCAGTCTTCAACCGGTGGACATTGGGGAAGCTTGAAGACGATGGATTTGCTCTCTCGTTCGTTTGGTTGGCCGAATTTACGGAAGGACGTCTTGGAGTTCATCCAAGGCTGTGCCAGTTGTCAACAGGTTAAAGTTGATCACCGCCCTCCACAAGGACAGCTCATTCCTCTACCCATTCCTGATCAACCATGGAGTACAATAGGTGTTGAATTTATTGTTAAATTACCTTTGTCCAGCGGTTTCGACTTGATTATGGTTGTTGTCGATCATCTGTCAAAGGCGGCCCACTTCATACCGGCGAAAGAAACTTGGTCTGCAGAAGAATTGGCAAGATCCTTCATTGCTCAAGTTTTTCGTTTTCATGGCTTACCAGACACCATTAGGGGCTCTCAAACCTGACCCGGTTTTCAAAAACCCAGTTGACCCAGTTGACTTTTTGGCAGTAACTTTGTATATAAATTTGAAATTTATTGACAGCTCCCAGCCAAAAAGTCAACTGGGTCAACTGGGTTTTTTGAAACCGGGTCAGGTTTGAGAGCCCCTATTGTATCTGATCGCGGCACGACCTTGGTCTCGGGATTTTGGACTAGTGTTTTGCGTCTATTACGTGTTTCGTCTTCGCCTTCGACAGCTTTTCACCCACAGACTGACGGCCAGGTAGAACGTCTGAATGCTTTGTTGCAGGATTACTTACGTCATTATGTTTCCACAGAGCAGGAGGATTGGGCATCTTGGTTACCAATGGCTGAGTTTTCGTACAATAACTCAATGTCCAGTTCCACAAAAATGTTGCCATTCTTTGCGTTGCAAGGCTATCACCCACGGTTTAATTCCCTGACAGGCTCTTCTGGTCGACCGAAAGCTGATGCCTTGGTTGCACATTTACAGGATGTTCAAACACGTTTGTCGGATAATCTGGTCCAAGCAAAGGAGTCACAAGCACGGTTCTACAACAAAGGCCGACAGGTTGATACGACTTATGCGCCAGGAGACTTGGTCTGGTTATCAAGAAAACATTTGAAGACAAAACACCCGAGTAACAAGCTGGATGTACAACGCTTAGGCCCCTTCTCTGTGGTACGGATGGTTGGGAGGAATGCAGCTGAGTTGGATTTGCCACCATCTTTGTCCCGACTGCATCCTGTGTTTAATGTGTCACTTCTAATGCCGTTCGTAGGAGAGACTGCTGACATTACACCTGCGGAAAAGACGCGGTGGAATACGTTGGTCCTTCAACAACAGGAGACAGTCAGCACTGTTTTGGATTATCGGCTAACAAGAGACGGCGTTCATGAATACCTGGTACGGTTCTCTGGTTCTTCAAACTTGGATGATCGTTGGCTGCCACTGTCTCGACTATCATTGTCTTTGGACACTTGGTTGGAACGTTTTCACCGCATTAGCCCTTCTGTAGGACCTGGACCTGGGGAACTTGTATGGATAGCACGGGCAAAGCGACATGTGGATCAAGAGGCTGGTCTTTTACCTAGTGAATAAGTTTTTCTCTCAGCAACCAACCCCTTTGTGCCTAAACAAGCCATTCAAGACGAGGGTATGTGAAGGTGTTGGAAGTTTTTTCTCTTTGCGGTACATGGAAGGTCATAATTTGTCATGAACCTGTCACATCTCAGGAACTTTAAATTATCTCAAACAGGAACGTTAAGAATACTTCATAATAGTTACTTAGATAATATGACGTATGTAGGATTCATAATCAGGAACAAGGTTCTTTTGTCTAACAGTTGTTTTGCGGATTCAAAATTGTCTTCTCTCATACATATACTTTGTATTTTCAAGAACTGTTGTGATCCTTTTCTTATCGGAATAATTATTATCTCTCTCTCTCTTTTACGACGCTGCCTAGAAGACGCTCTTCTTCTTTGCTGTGTGCCAAGATCTCCGAAATTTGAGATCAGCTATCCCATAAAGAATCACCGTTAAAAGCTTTTGCCATTAGACCGCTCCGACCGTGATCCTGATACAACAGTATCCAAAACTGATAGACCCATTCCTTGAGAGATGGTCAATTGACTCCCTGTAATGTCTTTGAACAAACTTGTTACTCGTTTCCCAGCTGGATACTTGTGAGCTGGCACATTTTGATTCTCTTTTTTTTCTAATAGAAGTTAAGTACAATATGCTGAACTCATACCAGCAAGTTTCAGAAATAAGATCAAAGTAATATTGAGTGAGATAGGATGGATTGTATCCAAAAGTGACCCGGATTTCACTTTGTGGGGCTATTGGTCACGCCAGAGATGTCGTTTAATGTGCAAGTCCCTCGTGCCTCGGCTTTGGGTTACCGTGAGCTTTTGCAAGATCAGACTTGGGTTAAGTTAGTAGTCAAGTTAACCATTCAATAAGGCTATACTACAACTTCTTCACTGAATCCTACTACTAGTGATTATTATTTTTAAACTTATATTTGAGAAAAGATGCCAGGTTTCTTCAGTCTTCATTCTGTCTTGTTTTTCTTGATCACTCTGATTGTTTCGATTGCACCTCTCGAGGCTAAGCCTATGACTTCAATGGGAAAGTCTCACAAGCAAGCTCGAAATCATTTAGAGACCAGAGCCACGGCCACGACTTTGCACGCTACTGGCCATCATCTTGGAAAAAAACCTACCCAGAGTTGGATCTCCGCGAATCCAGGTTAGCATATTTTTCATGAGTGCGTGTGTTGAAGTTTTACTAATTGAAGACTAAAAACAATTGAATCACTGTAGCTGGGAAATCGAGTAGTAATATCCAAGCTGCTGAATGTGCTCATAATTTGAGGCTCGGTACTCAAGTCTTCGCGTATTTTGAGATCGATTCTACCAAGGCCAAAAACCATGGGGCGCCCTATGGGACTTGTTATGCCACCGCGGTACGCACATTTTTTTTCTTCAACCCAAATGCCGCAGAATTTTTAATCTAGTTCTTCGTTCTTGAAATCAAATGATGCATTGGGTCATGTGTGCTATTAGGCTGCTCCGACGGCATCAGAGTTAGAAGCAAATGCTGCCTATGATGTATTCTTCTGGAAGTAAGTCATTTGAAACATTTTTCGATTCATCATTTTTCATGGCGTTCATTTTAAACTTGAACTGATTCGACGAACCTCACAGCAATCTGGGGGGTCAGTCCGGGGTAGGAACTGGGCCTATCCGAAATCCGAAAACAGGCGTAGCTGGCTACGAGGATAGGAACGGAGTTTACCACGATGGTGAAAACCCAGACAAGTCTCCTTGAAGAGCGTGTTGTTCTTTTCAGATTTTTTGATCTCATGACTACCAGAATTGAAGTTCCGAAAACAGGCGTAGCTGGCTACGAGGATAGGAACGGAGTTTACCACGATGGTGAAAACCCAGACAAGTCTCCTAGAAGAGCGTGTTGTTCTTTTCAGATTTTTTGATCTCATGACTACCAGAATTGAAGTTCCGAAAACAGGCGTAGCTGGCTACGAGGATAGGAACGGAGTTTACCACGATGGTGAAAACCCAGACAAGTCTCCTTGAAGAGCGTGTTGTTCTTTTCAGATTTTTTGATCTCATGACTACCAGAATTGAAGTTGATCTTCCAGGTGGAGGTTTACTTCAATGTTTCATTTTTTTTCTACAAACATGCGATTTCGCCAGACCACCTAGTGTTTTCTTTGTTGAACTCACATTACTCAGTGTGGTATCCCAAATATGTTATTTCTTCCCTTCTTTTTCTTTCTTTTTGTGTTGGTACAGCGTGATAGCTAGGTACAAAATTCCAATTTGTGGGCAATTTGTTATGGGAGGATACAGTCAGGAATAGGGTGTCATCAATGATACAATTCTCGCCAAGATGCCGTATCTGTTCATAGCTCCTGCAGTTTTCAGTAAATAAACAGAGGTTATGTCATTCTGTGATTCGTAGGCGGGTCACATGATTTGTGTCCATCAATTTGCAGGATCCAGTGGGTTCAAAGCTTCAGATGGGAAAGCCCTGTGAGCTGATGCGAGAAAAAATGAGAAACCCATAGTATTAACAGGACCTTTATCTTGATCGCATTGATAAGAATGACAACTGGCAATGAGGCCTATGGGTTAGACCAAAGAAGTCAAGGTCTGCTTGGATGGGAAAGACCTTTGACATAGTGTCGAAGCAATTCATTCAAAGCCTACTGTGCCTCCGAAAAAATCTTTGAATCAATTCCGCCGACCACGTCAGCTTAAGTGAAGTTTGGCAGCTTGAGCTTCTGAGCCTGAGGCATTCGTGTTGATAGGCACTGGCCCAGAAAACTTGGTCTTGTCGTGAAGTGGTTGAAGAGTTTGGAATGGTTCAAATCTTGAGGGAGGTATCGAACCGGTTTCAATAGTTGCAGAAACATGCAGAAAACAACTTGAAATAAAAAAGATAAAGATGAGGATGTAGACAAAACTGTAATTGCAACAATTTCCTAAGACAATCAACGATTGTTCTCCAAGTCGCACTCAACAGCGTCAAAAAAGCTAATATGAGCAAACCCGAACTCGGACAAAAAGAGAGTTTTTTAAGACATCTCCATTTTATCAAAGGGAGGGCAGCAAAAACAGGAGAGGTTGGTTATTTGTCTCTCCTGGCGTCCTCCGATTTGTTCATGGTTGAGAGGAGAGGCTCGCGCAGGCCGAACAAATGTGAATTTATAGCAGCTCGGGTAATTTGGTGGGGATGGTTGGGCCAGGGTTAAATGTTTTGGGTTTAAACTCGGGTAGTCTCGTGACCTGTTTCGGCTGTAATCGTGAACAGTAATGTGACCGATCAATGCAGTATCACTGATAACGTTGAACCACTCTGACTCTCAAGCATTGAACAACAAAGTCATCATATCGACCACAATCCTCATCATGTACCGATTTCCTATTCGACCAATCTCAAAGTCACTTCCAAAGGTATCTCTTCAAATCATTCAAAATTGAAATTGATTGATTTATATATGTATAACTCATTAACCAGATTCTATCTTCCAGGCTTACCAATGTCAAAATGTTCAAAAACGACATTTATCTATCCATGAATATCTTTCTATGGGACTTTTGAATGAATATGGAATACCTACTCCAGCAAGTAAAGCGGCCAAAGATCCTCAAGAGGCTTATAACATCGTCAAGCAAGCAGGTCTGTCACAATCAACGTCAAAAACTAAAGATCTTAATCTAATCTGTTATGATTGTTTTTACGAGGATAGGAAAACCAATGGTTATCAAGGCACAGGTCTTAGCTGGTGGAAGAGGAAAAGGTCATTTTGAAGGACCTAATGGATTGAAGGGAGGTGTTCAGATGGTGGATTCACCCGATCAAGCTCGTGATTTTGCTGCTCAGATGTTGGGACAGAAATTAATTACCAAACAAACTGGAGCAGGTGGAAGGATTTGTAATGCGGTTCGAAACTTTCATCTTGGACTTTTTTAATACTTCTAAACTCACCCCTTCATATTACTTGATCATTTACCTTTAGGTTATGTTGGCTGAAAAACGAGAGCCTTCACACGAATACTATGTGGCTATCTTGAACGATCGAAGTTTGAATGGACCAGCACTCGTAGCTTCATCTCAAGGAGGAATGAATATTGAAGAAGTAGCAGCTAAAGATCCGTCTGCGATCCTAACTTATCCAATTGACTTTCACAATGGTTTAACCCAAACACAAGGAATTGAGGTAGCTAAGAAATTAGGAATCAAAGATGAAGCAGCAGCAGCAGATATATTTATCAAGTTATATAAACTTTTTAAAGACAAGGATGCTACTCAAATTGAAATCAATCCGTTAGCTGAAACAAAAGATGGTGCAGTACTATGGTTAGAATTTAAGTTTTTTTACATCACTTGAATCGATTTTAACAAATCTTTTTGTGTTTTCCTTTTGACTTTCGAAAGTATGGATGCCAAACTTGGGTTTGATGAGAACGCTGAATTTCGTCAAGCAGAGGTTTTCAAATTAAGAGATCGAAGTCAAGAAGATCCTACAGAAGTAGAAGCTGCAGAGTATGGTTTGAATTTGATCAAATTAGATGGTAATATCGGATGTCTTGTCAATGGAGCTGGTTTAGCAATGGCAACGATGGATGTATTGAAGCTGGCTGGAGGTAGATTTTCATGATCATAGACTGATATATCTCCACGGAACTCATATAGCTTATCAATTACCATTTGATTAGGCAACCCGGCCAACTTTTTGGATGTAGGAGGTGGTGCGACTGCTGAGGCTGTCAAAAAGGCATTTGAGTTGATCACCAGTGATAAAGGAGTTAAATCGATCTTTGTGAATGTAAGTTGACCTCACCTCGAGTTGCTTAGATTGAAGTGATTAGATGAGACTGATCAGTTGAAAGTACTTCTATGATGTAGATCTTTGGTGGAATGTAAGTCTTACTCGACCTACCATTCGATTCTTATCATACGCTGATGGTGGTCGAAATCCAATTTGCGCGATCTTAAATTTAGTATGAGGTGTGACGTGATTGCCGAGTAAGTTTGATCATACACAACTCGTAGGTGATGCGATACGAGTTTGTTGAATCAATACAACGTTTTGGGTTGCTTGATAGGGGTATCATCAGAGCCACCAACGAATTGTCATTGGATATTCCATTGATCGTACGTTTACAGGGTACCAAAGAGAAGGAAGCCAAGCAGTAGGTTTCGATTATCATAGCCTTTTGATTCGAGATTTTGATATACATAGACTGATGCAATCAAATGATTTGATGATGCTTGTAATCATTACCAGATTGATCAAGGATGCAAAGATGAAGATCTTGTGAGTAAAACTTAAAGTACTCTTCACGTCTTTCATATCATTGACTTTATTTTTTGATCTGCTCTTAGTGCTTTTGATGAATTGGACGAGGCAGCCCGAAAGGCAGTCGCTGTGAGTGTAGAGATGACCAAACTTGATTGATGAATGTGAAGCTTATTGATGATTTACATTTTATGGCCGCTTTTTTCAAGGCTGCTGCATGAGATGGGTAGTTGCTTGGAGCATATGGTATGAACTCGGATGAAAGGCCGGGATCATATGATAATTTCGGATTTGGGATCAAAGATAATTTTGTTCTGTTTTGGATGATAGATACAATGTAGTGATGCTATGTAAATAAAATAAAGCGGCTGGATTAGACTGTGACACCGATATTTTGATTTTTGATCGGATGAAGTCTGTAAAGCGAAAAGAATTGTACTTGATGGATTGAGGTTGAGATGGAAAGTCTTCAAATTAAGTTCATCTTCTTCAAAGTTCCATATGAATTATATATGATTGGAGTAAAGGAAAAGAAACTAAAACCGCAAAAGTCAAATGTTTGATGGCTAAAGGTGATTTGAAAAATGTGATAAGATAGATTGGCATTGCAAGAAATCCAAATAAAAGATATATATGTATGTACATAATGGCCCCAAATAAAGGCAACTTTTATATGAACAAAGATAAAGTTACACTTTTGAAAAGTTCATGAATATGTAAATACTCCCTTTTATAATAATTTGCAGTCTGAGCAAGCTGTTCAAACAAAAAGACACATGTTGGACAATTAATGCTTGATTTGAAGATAATGAAAACAAGGAAAGATCACTTACTAATAAAGTCCGTATTGGTGTCTTTAGGACACATGTAGCGTACATTCCCGCTATTCCAGCATTCTATCGGAGTAAAAAGAATCGAATCATAAAAGAGTGTTTAGTAGGCTAGAACTTCAAGGGTGAATCCATAGAATCAATGGAAGGTTTAAAGATGGTAACCAACGGTATCTGGCACCTTGAAGCTGATAAGCCGTACATTGTTGATTACTTGCACCAGGAGTCTTGTCGAGTGTACAACCTTGCATCGGTGCATATTGACGATCTAAAGATAATTCAAAGAACGGTTCAGAGGAAAACTTGAATCAAGAGATAGAGATGGATAAATACAACAAGAAGATCACAACTTACTATTGTACGAGCACTGTTTTGTTGGGCACGAATAAAATTTACCTCCTTTCTCCCAACAGACTTTTGAGAAGGAAATGATAAATGAGAAGTTTTTTTTTAATGAATCAAGATGAAAAAAAGGATTCAAACATTTTATTTACCTGAGTCCCATCCAGTATTCGTGAACCCGACTGCACATATGACTTTGATGGCTTTTGTAAAAGCAAAGTGTGTGATACATACAACAATAAACATGATGAGAAACTTTGGGAGAGATTGGAAAGATAACATGATGATGATATGTCAAGGAAATGAGAAATAATATGTGGTACTACAAAATGATATAAGCTTTCCAGAAAGATGTGAGAGATACCGATATATGTTTACAAATGCAAAGATGATTGAAGGGGGTAATGGTTGGAGGAGGATTGAGGAGTTGCTGTAATCCGAATATCAAAAGTAGAGTATGAGTACCTTCGTAGCTCCCAGGCGATGGCTAAGACCATGTGTTCAGGTGCATTTATCTTCACCGACGTACTAGAGATTGAGCAGAGTCTCATGCTTGCTAGGCATTATCACTTACATGTATTCTGGTATTACTGCCCAGTTGTCTAGGACGGCACACAGAGTGCTCACTGCCTTGCCAAGCAACAGTCTGAGTGGATTTAGATGTGCACAGTGCAACGCCGGCCACGGAAGCCAATCGCCAAGAGAGGTTTCAGAAGAGATAAATGTAACAGCGGGAAATCACCTACTAGCTCAACTATGTAAGTCCCTCCTTCAGAATCAGATTGACGAAGGAGTGATTTGTGACCAACACGGACTTCTTTGCGCGATAGCATCTTTCAACACTGTATGTTTTGGTCGTTCAAGTTCATGTAATTAGAAACAGATGGCCGGGTGGCACACTACAAGATTTATCGATAAGAAGATTAGATCAATCAAGTGAACATGAATGAAAACTGGCAAAAAGGACAAACTAGACAAACATAAAGAGAAAGCTAGGTTATGGAGAGAGCACTGTGGGTGGCCATACTTGGCGCTGAGTCATCCCACTGGGATGCCCCTTGCTCTGTTGTAGAGAAATTGATAACGGCGTAAAAAACAGAGACAGATTAAGATAATATTTGCACCACTTAAAACTTAACCCTTTGCTTGTTGCTTAAATTTTGATTATGAAAGGACAACAAATCTAGAAAACTTGTAAAATATGTTTGTAGGAGTTTTCGAAGACAAATTTTCTAAGAGGAAATGGAATGAGAAAGGATAACTGCGAAAAGAGACCGCGAGAGAAGCTGTTTCTGAGTGTGGCACGACTGGACCCATTCGGGGAGTCTGTCGTTTGCAGATTGCCTTTAAGTGTTGTTGCACCTCTTTTCAGAGTAGGAGGGCGCGTGACCGTATTGCCAGGATGTCACTCGCCGGTTCACATCTTCCACAATAAAAGTGATTTGATATTCCAATCCATCTTTTACATTTCTTCAATTCTGTCTTCTCAATCAATCTCATCTTGTTTCTTTCCATTAAGATCGAGGTGAGCGCGCTGAAGTGAATCGATCAAGTTAAGACAAGTTTGATTTCTCAGTATTTCATGAACCAGACCATCGTCATAATCAAATAAGATGACTATTAACCATGAAGCAGAAAAGGAAGAAGAAGAAGAAGACTATCTGAAGTTATTAATCAATCAATTCAACTTCAATCAAACTCAACTTGAAACTCTTCTTAATGTATTAAAGACTATCATCCATTCTTCTGCTTCTTCTTCTTCTTCTTCAAATCAAACTCAGCATCAACTCAATTCAATCAGTTTCGATTCTCTTCCTGATTATTCTATCAACTCATTCGCCAATGATCTCATTAGCTCTTTAACAGTTCCTTCAATCAACGACATCAAATTCGCTTTAACAATCTTATCCAACAAATATTCAAATTATCTTTTAACGGGTTATTTCAATTCATTCAATAATTTAACTTTTCAAGAACGTCAATCAATCTTAGTTAACTTTTCTAAATCATCCTTAGCAATCAAACGTCATATCTTTTCTGGTTTAGTTTTATTTCCTTTATCTCAATCTTATCATTCTTCTAAGCATTTAATTCAATCTATTGGTTATCCTTTAAATGGTGATCCGAAATTATTATCTCAACCTAATCGAGCTCAAAAAAGTTATCAATTCGAATTTTTAAACGTCCAACATGGTTTTCATTCGATTCTAGAAACTGATGTTTTAATCATTGGATCCGGAGCTGCTGGAAGTGTGGTGGCTTCAATACTATCCAAATCTAATCATAATGTATTAGTAGTGGAAAAAGGTTCTTATTATCCTACTGAACAAAGTAAGGGGTTTTTCTTTGACTTATTGATTGATTCCCAATTTCATAAATCTTGGATCAGACTAATCTTGGATCATTTCTTGGAACACAGTCTCAGGTTCAATTAAACAAGGTAGAAAAATGTTTGAAGGTAATGGAATGATTACCACATCAGATGGAAAGATGAACGTCTTAGGTTAGTCAACTTAAAAGAAACTCAAAATCCATCAACATGATCCTAATCAACGAATCTTCAATTAGCCGCTTCAACTTTCGGAGGAGGTACGACAGTGAATTGGTCAGCTTCAATCCAAACACCTTATCATATTCGTCAAGCTTGGTCAACTCAATACGGTTTGCCTTACTTTTCAACCGAAGGATTTACATCAGACTTAAATGCGGTCACCCATCGACTTGGAGTTTCAAATCAATTCATTCAACATTCTCGTAGTAATCAATTATTTATGAAAGGATGTAGAGATTTAGGAATCCATGTAGATTCAATTCCTCAAAATACTGCGGGTCATACTCATGATTGTGGAATGTGTGGTTGGGGTTGTAAGTTTTGATGGATGATCTGATGGTAAATTGTAAAAGGTCAAACCGGTCTCTAATCTTGGTTTTCTGGATGGTTCAAATTAGGTCCGTTTGGAGAAAAACAAGGAGCTACTCGAACTTGGTTAAAGGATTGTGCACAAGCAGGAGGTAAATTTATGAAAGAAGCTGTAGTAGAAAAAATCTTGTTTGGGAACAAACCTGAAGATTTAATTAATTCACCGGATTATCTTCAAAACCATTCAAGTCCTTCAAGTAGTAGATCAAGAGCTATTGGAGCATTAGTTAGAGTTAAGAATCGATCTGAACCGATCTTGATTAGAGCTAGAAAAGCGGTTGTTTGTAGTGGTGGATCGATTAATACTCCTGCTGTCTTGCTTAGGAGTGGACTTGATGGTGGTGGAACGGTAGGGGTTGGACTTCATTTGCATCCTTGTAGTTTTGTGACTGGTTTCTTTGATGAAGAGATTAGACCTTGGGAAGGTAGTATCATGACCTCGGTAAGTCACCCACAAATCTTTTGATGGTTATGTGAGATGGAAAAAGGAGTATTCCAGAACACTGATGAATCCATTTTGATTGGATTATGTTGGATGGTGAATTTGGGTTCAACAATAGATTTCATGTGAAGTTGAGAACTTAAATGGAACTCATTTTGGTTCCAAAGTGGAAGTGATGTTTTCGAATCCAGGACAATTTGCAGGGATAGGAGCTAAATGGAGATCAAGTGAATCACATAAACAAGACATGATGGAATACAAAAATTCGTTTACATTAGTGATAATTTGTAGAGATCGAGATCAAGGAAGGATCACCATCAATCCAAAAGGTGAACCGGTGATTGATTATGGATTGAGTAAATTCGATGGTCAAAGTCTTTTGGCTGGAGTGATTAAAGGATGTGAGGTGATGAATCGAATTGGGGCTAAAAGGATTAATACCCCTCAGTTTAGTGTAGAACCGTTTATCAAGAATGAGAATAAAGAATTGAATGAAGAACACTTTCAAAGATGGATTGAAGAAGTTCAATGTGCTGGGATTTCTTCTGGTTGCGGTCCGATTGGAACAGCTCATCAGGTTCAGGGTTTTTTTTTCGAATCCATTTTTAGATTTCAAATTTTAACTGATCTTTCTATTTTGATGGGTTCAGATGGGATCATGTCCTATGGGAAACAATCCTACGACCAGTGTGATTGATGAAAATGGAAAAGTATGGGGCATGAAATCACTTTATATTGCAGATGCATCTGTTCTACCCACTTCAACAGGTGTGAATCCAGCCATCACTGTAAGTTATAAAGGAATCTTGATTTTTTTAAAACAAAAAAAACTTGAAAGAGCTAATGATTTTTTTTTACTCTTTTTTTTTTCAAAACAAAAATTCAAAGACTATGGGAGTTGCATATCATATTGGTAAATGTATTGAAAAAGAAATTGGAAAAGGAGAGTTCTTTGAAATGTCTAGGTTGTGATTTTGTGGAGTTTCAAAAAAAAATTATCATGCATTTTAAGAGTACTTGTTCTTTTTTTTAGTAAATTGTTGTTTTAGTTACTACACTGCATGAATCATTAACTGCAAGACCCGATTAAAGAGAGTTGTAGTGAATGGGTCTTTGATTTTCTTTAATTTGTGAGTCTTGTTTGTCATAGGTTTATTACTTTTCCTTGGACTCCCCTCATGTTATTTGTTTGAGTCAACTTTGAATGTCTATTGATGTATGAATCTAGCTCATGCTCATGTACTGAGAGTGTCTGTGGCTGGCCC